CTGATCACGTGTGTGTGTGTGTGTGTGTGTGTGTGTGAGAGATGCTCCGGTCTCATCACGTGTGTGTGTGTATATGTGTGTGTGTCCTCAGGAGACGCGTGATGGACGTGTGGACAGCTGGAGGAGCTTCCAGGCCAAAGGCAAGACTAAGAAAGAGAAGAAGAACCGCACGTTCCTCAAGCCGCCCAAAGTCAAGATGGAGCAGCGCGAGTGAGACGCTCCTGAGACGCTCCTGAGACGCTCCGCTGTACAGACGAAGATCCTGAGCCTCAGTCCTGTCCAACAGACCTTTCCTCAGACGCGCTGTTCCTTCTGCAAATAAACATTTGTTTGTAGATATCTCGTTCTAGGTTTTATATTGTACACAGTTACACCTTTGTTTTTGTCTGACTGTATGAGTTTCATGTTTGTTTGTGAGAGGAAGAGTTTTAATATTAAATGGATTAAATCTGAAGTTCTTCATCCGTGTTGTTTCGGCTTCATTGAGACACTGGTATAATTTTTATTAATATACTTTTTTTTTTTTTTTTATTACAGCAAAAATAAATATACAAATGAATAAAACATTTTAGATTTTTTTTATTTTAAGTTTTGTGTTTGAATTTTTATAGTTTTATACATAACTAAATTTGAACTAATTTAGTTAAAATTATATTGTATATGTGTATATATATATATATGTACACATACACACAGTATATATATATATACAATTTCAGTCTTCACATAAATATAAAACTATGTGTTTTTTTTAAACATTGAGAAATGTTTTAGTTATATAAAGTTATGTTTACTTTTTTGCTATAGTTTTAGTTACCTATAATAACCCCGTGCTTCTCTAAATTATATTTTTTGGGGAGATATTAAAAACTATATTTTTTAAACATAAAAAAAAAATAATGTATGGTTATGAACAGCAGGTCGCAGTGTTGTACAGTAAACACACATCTGAATCTTCAACACAGCAAGCTCGAGCTCAGTGCCAGAAGCAGCGCTGGTCCTGCAGGTGTCGCTGTGCTCGAGCACTGATGAGTGTCTGGGACTGATTACCCTCACGAGCCACACACACACCATTGTTTCTGCTGATGAAAACATTCCTTCATCATCCTCAAATGCTCTGCCCTTGCTCGGTTTTATCAGCTCGCACATCTTTATGGGGCAGAAATACATATTAAAACTGCTTTAATGCGGAGTTCAATCCACATAAAAGACCTTTATAAATAAAAGACTTTAAGGACATGATTTATATACAAATTAAGACTCGTATTTGCATGAATTCAGCAGACACGTTTATTCAAAGTGACTGAGGTCATCCCAAGCAGTTTTTCTTACAGGAGTACGTGATATTTACACAAAGACAGGAATGAAATATAAACTAGAGCAGAAGCTCAGTCAGAGACGCAGAAGGGTCTGGAAAGAACTGGGCTGTGTCTTCAGCTGAAGAACCAGCTTCATGACTGGTACGATTCAAATTAAATAAATTTTTCTCTCTCATGTTGCCTCTTGAGGAAAGTTTTTTAATAAGAGTTTTCTGATGAGAGACATTTTTCATCAAGAGACAAAAAAACAAAAAAAGAGAAAAAAATCAAATGAAAATCTAAAAAAAAAAAGATCACTGATTTTTTTTAAAAAGCAGAAAAAAATCTTCTAAAAAAGATTTTTTTAACAGAAAAATTTTGGGAAAGAAAAATAGTTTTATGGGAAAAGGTTTTTTGAAGAGAAACATTTTCTGATGAGAGAAAAATGTTTTTGGAGAGAGAAAAAAAATATGTTTTAAGAGAAAAAAAATGTAAAGAGAAAAAAATTAAGCAATAAAAGCAAAGGGTCTTTTAAGTACGGAAGAGGATTAGGGCCAAGCAATAATAAAAAAAACAATAAAACCATCTCGAGACTAAAGTCGTAAAATTTTGAGAAAAAAGTCAAAACACAATGTTGAGAATAAACTTAAATTACGAGAAAAAAGTAATTACATTTTAAGAAAAAAACTTGCTAAATTTAGAGAAAAGTCTAAATAAAATGCTGAGAATAAACTCCTTAAATTGCGAGAAAAATCTTGTTAAATTTCAAGAAAAAAGTCAAAATAAAATTGAGAATAAACTCAAATCATTACATTTCAAGAATGACAGCATTGCGTTTTGAGAAAAAAAATTGAAATATAAATGTTGAGAATAAACTCATTAAATTACGAGAAAAAAGTCGTTACATTTTAAGAAAAAAACGTGCTAAATTTAGAGAAAAAAGTCTAAATAAAATGCTCAGCATAAACATTAAATTAGAAGAAAAAAGTCATTAAATTTCAAGAAAAAGCTTGTTAAATTGAGAGAAAACACAGTCTAACTGATTGTTGTCGTACAGTGTTTCTCCAGTTTTCCGCGTCAGTGTTGTTGAGAATGTCAGGACAGATTCATCTGCCTTTAACCGAGTTTAAATCACGGTGGTTTGTATCGGAGAGCTGTGCTTTAAACTCGAACGCTTCTCACAGCGCTATCTAGTGGTGGCCTGAGATAATAACGCTCTGTGCAGCACGGATCACACACGCTTTCGGTGCGCTACAGAAATGACAGCGCATACGAGTTATCACGTTTTACTGATACATCTGGCATAAGATTTAGTGCTGCCAGCTTGTGTTGACATCGTGAAACGGCCTGATTTGTAAATTATGTTTGCATATATAATAGGCTACATTTCGCTAGACAAGCTGCGAGCCGGACTTTAGACACCCCTGCCATAGATGCTATTTAGAGTCAAAACAGTGCTATATACTATTTACACTAAGTGACAACAGCAATTCTATTTATGTTATGTAAAAGTAGCAGATCTCTGCAATAAGTGTAAATAGTCATTAGATGCTATTTGTACTTCTAAACAGTGACAGATGCTCTTTGCACCTCAGTATTGTTGTACATTGTCATTATTGCATCCTGTTAATGTATGTCAATGCAATGCAATACAATGAATGAATATGATTTTATTAATTAAAATGATTAAATAGGTGCTGCCTTATTGGGACAACAAAGCCCTCCCTATAGCCTGCCTACCACTAATTAATAGATTATAATTAAACACTCGTTAGGCAATTGATTTCCACTTCTGCACTGTGATATGTGATGAGAAAAGGAAGAAGAGCGAGCTCTGCAAAAGACGGCTTCGAACCCTCGATCACATCACAGCTGCATCTAAGTGCATTACTCCGCGACCTCCGCCACTGGACAAGCAGTTTAACTACGTCCAACCAGATGAAATAGTGGTTATGCGCAACAGACTTCCGTATTCTGTTAACCGGGTCTCGTCGCTTCCGGTTCAAGCGTTTTGCATATGCTTAGTTAAATATGAAGCAGTTTTACTCAAGATGCCTTCAAAGTAGATACCAATGATGATCATAACCAATGTCCATCACATATGCGGACTGATATCTAAAAGTTGATATTTTTATTCTTTTCACATTTAGATATAAAAATTGAATAAAACATCAACAATAAAAACAGTTAGCTAGTTTAACTGATTATCTTAAAAGTCCATAGATATCGCTATTGTTTAATACGGCTGTTAACACGTTCTCCGACAAGTGGAAGCAATGAGACCTGTTTTCCGTGTTTGGTCAGGTGATATTCGACATATACCCCATACACAAGGAACCAGACTGTTTACTCTCAACATTTTATTTCCACTTTATTCTTCAAATTTAACGAGTTTACTCTCAACATTTTATTTCCACTTTATTCTTCAAATTTAACGAGTTTACTCTCAACATTTTATTTCCACTTTATTCTTCAAATTTAACGAGTTTACTCTCAAAATGCTATTTCGACTTTTTTCTCAAAATTTAACGAGTTTTTTTTCCTCGAAATTTAAAGACTTTAATCTCGAGATGTTTTTTTTTTATTGCTTGGCCCTAATCCTCTTCTGTAGAAGGGAGAGAGAAAAAAAATTTGGAGAGTGAGTAAGTGTCACACACACGTGAAGATGACACAGTAACACACACACACACACACACACACACACTGACAGGCACGTGAAACCTGAACGGACTGTCAATCTCGGTCAGTCATACACAGACTGCATATGAACCCAAACTCAAGAAACATCTTTACTTTCCGAATCATTTCTGAAACGAGGATGTTCCTAGAGGAGCTGTCAGATTTAGGTCACTTCTGGAGACAATTTTATAACTATAACTAAACACACACACACAATCTGACGAGACAATAGTGACATTCATGTGCTGCTCAAAACCTGTGCTTACCAAACACACACACGCCAAATATTAAACATCATGGATGTATATTTACGGAGTAATCCACTAATCTGTAAAATGGAGTTAAAATGCCATACCATGACCCAATTTAACAACTGACTCATAGAGCCATTTTTAGATCCCTGCATCTCTCAGAATGAATCATATATGAATCACACAGGGCCTTAAAAATGAAGATACTTTGTTAAGAGCCAAAATCTAAAAGGGCATTAAGATGTCTTTAATACTTCTTGAGTTATAGCCATGCAAACTTCGGGAAACAAACGTGAATCAACTTGAAAAGAGCATTTTTTCCTGTTTTTGAACGGTCACCATTGGCATATAAAGCAACACAGATTGCTGAAGTCAACAGATATTACTAATAGAGCTACCAATCTCTGCGTGAAAATATCATGCTGCCATCTCTCTGAAATAATTTTTACCCTCCTGTAATTTGGCTCTGAATCTCAAATGAAAAATGTCATTTTGACCCTCCTCTGCAGTGTTTCCCAACCGGGGTGCCGTCTGTCGAGAGCAGGGGTGTTGTACCGAATATACTTTTCAAATTATCACATCGAAGTTAGAAATTCAAATATTGTGACAAAATTAATTTTGTACGGTGCCACAAGTTTGTTAAAATTTCCAAAGGGTGCCGCGACTAAAAAAAGGTTGGGAAACACTGCTCTACACAATAGTGCATAACTCAGTAAATTTACATCCATTGCATTTAATATTTTAGCTTTCAGCAATATTTAAATTTGTCTTTCTTCAGAAAAAATGCAAGAACAACATCCAAATTTTAGACGGAGAAGTTTGTGATTTAGATCCAGCAATATTTAGGTGAATTAAATATTGGTCCGTTTTGAAAGTAGTTGTAGCGAGCGTAAGCAATTCTCAAAAAGTGTTCATGTAAATATGATGAGTGGCCGCAGGTGAACTCTGAAATCAGTCTGTGTCCACGGGCCGTTTGGGGTATTTATCAGTGTGAAGAGAAGGGACTCTCACCTGAACACATTCATCTGTCAGAATGATCCGCACACAACATCACACACCGTCAGCATCACAGACGCCTGATTCCTGAAGAATATACAACCAATCCACCCCTCACCAATGACGCATGACTTACTGACGAACATGACCACAGCTGTGTGTGTGTGTGTGTGTGTGTGTGTGTTTAGAGTCATCTGAGGAAAGAATCCAGAACAACTGCAGCGTCTGAC